GAGACCTCATTTCTATAAATGTATATATAAATTTTTATATATTAGAATCTAAAAACTAGCCGGGCATGGTGGCGCATGCTTGTACTCCCAGCTAAGGCTGTACTCTGGAGAATAAGGCAGGAGGATGGCTTGAGCCCAGGAGTTCAAGGCTACAGTGAGCCATGATTGCATCACTGCACTCCAACCTGGCAACAGGGCAAGACCCTGTCTCAAAAAGAAAGAAAAAAGAGAGTAAAAGGCTGGGCACGGTGGCTCATGCCTGTAATCCTAGCACTTTGGGAGGCCAAGGTGGATGGATCCCTTGAGGTCAGGAGTTCAAGACCAGCCTGGCCAACATGGTGAAACCCTGTCTCTACTAAAAATACAAAAATTAGTCGAGTGGGGTAGCGCACGCCTGTAATCCCAGCTACTCAGGAGGCTGAGGCAAGAGAATCGCTTGAACCCAGAAGGCAGAGGTTGCAGTCAGCCAAGATCATGCCACTGAACTCCAACCTGGGTAACAGAGTGAGTGAGACTCCGTCTTAAAAAAAAAAAACAGCTGGGGGAAGGAAAGATCCCCTAGGATACTTCCCTTTAGAAGCAAAATTTGTGGGAAGGGATTTGGAGAGAAATCTCCATTTATTTGACTAGACAAATTTTTGAAGTGAGAGTATTACTTTAAAAAAATTTTTATAGCCAGATCTCGAAAGGTTACCTCAAAGCACAATTTTGTAATCAATTACTCAAGCCCAGTTTCAGTCATTTGTGTCATTGTCAGTGGACTTTTGAAGAAGCCAGGGGCATTTTGATTCTGAAGTCAGTTTTGTTAAACAGAAAAACTGAAAGGCCAGCTTTTCTGGTCACTCGGATGCAGTGAAAATAGCTGAGTTCATCTGAAACTTCCCCGGCATCTGACCCAAACTGAGGGCAAGTGTTTAACTGAGAAACAAAGACAAACATTAAGTATAGAAAACCCCTTTTGTGCCTCCACAGTGTGCAAGTTATGTTGAGTTATGCAGCTATTTTGGGGACAATAATGTTTTGTAAACAGTCGGCAAAGTGGCTTTGTTGGCAGTGTTGCTGTGGCTTGGGAACATTTCACAGAAAAGGACTGTATGGAAGATAGAATGACACGGTTGTGGCAGTCCCTTTGAAAAATACAAATGACTTAAATTAAGGCAGGTACAGATAAGTTTTTTTTTTTTTTTTTTTTTTTTTTTTGAGACGGAGTTTCACTCTTCCTCCAGACTGGAGTGCAATGGCACGATCTCAGCTCCCTGCAACCTCCACCTCCTGGGTTTAAGCGATTCTCCTGTCTCAGCCTCCCGAATAGCTGGGATTACAGGTGCTTGCCACCATGCCCAGCTAATTTTTGTATTTTTAGTAGAGATGAGGTTTCACCATGTTGGCCAAGCTGGTCTCGAACTCCTGACCTCAGGTGGTCTGCCCTTTTTGACCTCACAAACTGTTGGGATTACAGGCATGAGCCACCTTACCCCGCCCCAGATAATAAAGATTTGAAAGCCTTCTTTTCACTCTACCCACAGGTGTCAGTACCTAGAAACTCAACAGTGAAGGGAGTAAATGGAGCTCTGCCTTCATTTGTGGAACATGAAGCTTACAAAATATGTTTGTATCTGCCAACAAAGGCAGTGCAAGTAGATTACTAGTGCTATTCATGTAGTTTTTCTGTTGTTTTGTTTTCTTTTTTTTTTTTTTTTTTGAGACAGAGTCTTGCTCTGTTGCCCAGGCTCGAGTGCAGGATGGTGTGTCCAGACCTGTCTTACTCTACGAATAAGTGCCCAGCCCCCATTTTCTTTATTTGTGAAATGAGGATGAATATATGCGCCTCATAAGGTTGCCATGCAGATGAAAAGTGATTGTGTGTATGTGTGTGTTTGCCTCGCACAGGGTCCAGTCCTACCAAGTGACAATAAGTGGTCTATAAACATAAATAATCACTCTTAGTTTAAGGCTCTGGCAGTTCACATGTTCTAAGACCCAAGCATTTGTTCATTCATTCATAAGAAGAGAGAAACTGTCCCCACCCTTCTCTGACAGTCCAGGGACCTATGGTTCTCTGCCATGAAGCTGAGACACATTAACTATAGGATGGAAAACCATCGACTGCATTTGCTTAATAAATGCCGACTTAATTTGTCAGATTTAGGGTTCTCAAAAGTATTTACAATCATTGCACTTGAAAATACTTGAAAATAAGCCATGCCGTATACCCAATCATGCTGCTATAAAGACACATGCACACATATGTTTACTGTGGCACTATTCACAGTAGCAAAGACTTGGAACCAACCCAAATGTCCATCAATGACAGACTGGATTAAAAAAATGTGGCACATATACACCATGGAATACTACGCAGCCATAAAAAGGATGAGTTCATGTCCTTTGTAGGGACACGGATGAAGCTAGAAACCTTCATTCTGAGCAAACTATCGCAAGGTCAGAAAACCAAACACCACATGTTCTCACTCATAGGTGGGAATTGAACAATGAGATCGCTTGGACACAGAGTGGTGAACATCACACACTGGGGCCTGTCGTGGGGTGGAGGGAGCGGGGAGGGACAGCATTAGGAGATATACCTAATGTAAATGATGAGGTAACAGGTGCAGCACACCAACATGGCACATGTATACATACGTAACAAACCTGCACTTTGTGCACATGTACCCTAGAACTTAAAGTATAATTTAAAAAAAGAAAAAAAAAGAAAAAGAAAAGAAGCCATGCCCATGAATGCAGCACTTAAGGCTATATGAATGGGGGCCAGGTGTAGTGGGTCACACATTTAATCCCAGCACTTTGGGAGGCCAAGGCAGGTGGATCACTTGAGGTCAGGAGTTCAAGACCAGCCTGGCCAACATGATGAAACCCCGTCTCTACTAAAAATACAAAAATTAGCTGGGCGTGGTGGTGTGCATCTGTAATATCAGCTATTCAGGAGGCTGAGGCACGAGAATGGCTTGAACCTGGGAGGCGGAGGTTGCAGTGAGCCAAGATAGCGCCACTGCACTCCAGTCTGGGTAAGAGAGTGAGACTCAGTGTCGAAAAAATACAAGAAAATGGGGCTCAGAAAAGTTCGGCAACTTTTGTTGCTGTTGTTGTTGTTGTTGAGACAGAGTCTCGCTCTGTCACCCATGCTGGAGTGCCATGGAGCAATCTCGGCTCTCTGCAACCTCCGCCTCCTGGGTTCACACCATTCTTCTGCCTCAGCCTCCCGAGTAGCTGGGACTACAGGTGCCCGCCACCATGCTCAGCTAAATTTTTTTTTGGGTTTTTAGTAGAGTTGGGTTTTCACCGTGTTGGATAGGATGGTATCGATCTCCTGACCTTGTAATCCACCTGCCTCGGCCTCCCAGAGTGCTGGGATTACAGGCGTGAGCCACCGCGCCCGGCCTAAGTTCAGCAACTTTCTAAAGACATATTACCAGAGCATGGCAGAGCACAGCGGAACCCTAAAGCATCTGAATTCACATCCCTGGATCTCTTCACCATCCCCTGGTGTTCCACTTCCATTACACAGAAGCAAAGTCACACAGCCACAGGCAAAAACAGTAAGGATCATAGCTGGATCTCAGTGAGCATTTGATCTGCGTCAGCCCTGTACTGGGAGCTTTATACACATTGATTCAACCCACAGCATGACACCAGGATTTGGAACCCAGGAGATTCCCATTTTGGTGATGGGGAGTGGAGGCTCATGGAGGTGAAGCAACTTGCCCCACAGTCACTCAGCTAGTCAATCGGGGAGCTAGAATATGAAGCTAAGCCAGTTCCTGCCTCTTCACTGTCCTAAAACCATCTGCCTGTAACAGCACAATGTATGTGGATGATTTCAGTGATGCTTTTAAATCCTCTGTGTGACAATAAACTTATATGCACGTAGATCCATAGAGTAAGACAAGACTGGACACACAGAGACACACAGCCACCAAGAGATATGAAAGTCCCTGGATAGAAGGCTGGGGTTAAGCAGTCAGTGCTGGGGTGGGACAGACAGGGGTAGATGCTAATGTTTCTCACACTTTCAGTACATTAATTTATAAGACTTCAGTGTAATAACAGGGATAGCATATTTCATGAGCTCCTTCTGTGTGCCCGTCACACAGCCAGGAGCACCAAGAATTATCTCATTTACTCCTCCTGGCAACATCATAGCATTGTCCCTGTGTTACTGAGCAGGGAAGTGAAGTGCTGAGAGGCAGAGGGATGGAGCCAAGAAGGAATTCCACGTCCACCTACCTCCAGCTTCTGCCCCCAGGGAGCAAAGACCAGTGATCCAGGGGGCCAAGGATCTGGCAGCCAATTCTAGGCCTCCAACTGACTTGCTGCACAATACAGAGTACATCACAAAGCAAACCTACCCACTCATTCTCTCTCTCCTCCCTGTATCAGCTTCCTCGAAGGGTAGGGAAGGGGGTCTGTGAGCAGGAGGTCTCTGTGGTTAAATGTGAGGTTCTAGAGTCTCCTCTGTGGGGATCTGAGCCCCGACTCCACCTCTTCCTAGATACAGAACTTGCTGTCATCTCTTCACCTGTCAAAGCCTCAGTTTCATGGAGGTTAAATAGGAATAATAACAGCTGTTGGGAATTGGAAGAAACATCATCTGTTAAGACAGTGCTGTAAACATTCAACGAACAGCTGCTGTCATTATCACCACCATTCCATTTATCACTGTGATATGCCATTATATGAAATGATGGCAGTGGCTTGGCCCCTGATACCTTTGTTTTCTATCAGGAGAGTCTAAAGTAAGGGAGCAGGTCAGCTTCAACAAGGAGAAGAAAGAAAGACTTTGTGTTTTGGTCACTGGGCCGAGGATAGGATGGTTGGACAGAGAGGTCACCGGTTAGAAGTTAAACCCACCGGGTCAGCTAAGTAGCTCACTAATTCCTTCTTATCTGGGAGTCTAAGGAGCTCCGTCTTCCTCCCGACATAGCTGATCTCAAGTCCCTCCAACTGTCACACGGGGGACCCAAGAATCAGGAGTCACTCACCGCCATGACCAGCTCAAACGGGTACTTGTAGACTCGGACAGGAGACTGATATCTTTGCACCATGTTCACGGTGGAGCACCAACAGAAGTCACCAGGTGTGCACGGAGCCTGGGGTGAGGGGTAATTGGTGAGGTCGCAATTCCCACCTCGGGAAGCAGGGACACCACCCACCAAGTGTAAGGGGCAGCCCCTGGCCCCACCCACACAGCTCCCCAGCCTTCAAAGTGAGAAGGCTGATATGACCCCCAATTACTCCAGGCCAAGCCCCAACAGCTTCCCTATCATTAGCCATGGTCCCAGACCACGCTCAGCCTTCCAAGAGCAGTCAGCACCCCCAAACATTCCTCTACCCCCACCTCTTCACACTGAGGGCCCCCAAAAGCCTCACTGCCACCCACACAGACACACACACGTTTGCAATTCTTACACTCCCACGGTTCTCTTCACGCATGCACCCCGCAGCTTGCCACAGTCGCCCACCCCCAAGTCTCCTTGCACCTGCCCTCCCATTTTCCTCCCAGACACCCTGACATACACACACAGCCTTCACCACATTTCACAGGCACTGTCTCTGCCACACACATGCACACACGCAGGTTTCCCTCCCACACGGGACTGCTTTTGCACACGCCTCCAACTTTGCACACACATCCAGCTCCCTGAAACACGCACCTGCCCAACTCCACACACACAATTCCCCTGGTGTGCACAGACGTGCACACACGCACACACACCCGGGCGCACATGCACACACACGTACACACACGTAGAGACACTCACACACGCATGCACACACAGGTCCCCGCAGCTTTGCTCACCCTTGCCCTCGGTAGCCTTCGGGAACGCAGCCTAGGGCAAGTGCCCTGGAAACCCTCCCGGCTCGGGAGCTGAGCGCTTACGGGCTCCCGCGGCCACCTGGCCCGGAGCGCAGCGCCTGAGGCGGGGCACGATCGCGGCTCCCTAGCCTGGGGCGTCCCGCCTTGAACACCCTGCGACCAGGACAGCCGTGGAAGGCCAGAGGGGCGGGAGAAAGACCTGCCGAGCGGAGAGCTCTCCAGGACCCGGGACAGCGGAGATCCTGGCCTGGCCCCGCCCCTGGCCTGGCCCCGCCCACGTCCCTGGCCATGGCCCCGCCCAGGTTGGCCCTGCCCCCTAACTGGTCCCTCCCCACTCTGGCCCCGCCCCAGACTAACTCCCCCCACCCCCGGTTCTAGCCCCGCCCCTTATTTTACATGTATCTTGCTTGACCACGCCCGCAGCTCAATCATTTTTCCAGATTGGTCACACCTCAGGAAGTCCCCGCCCCCAAGGGCCTCAGCCTCGGGAATGATCCGGCCGTAGGAAGACCCCACTCTAATCTAGCTCTGCCCCCAAGCGGACCCTGCATCCGGGCCGACCCGCCCCTCTTAGTACTGTTTACATTTGTAAATGACCACAGTTTACGTCTTTTCTTGCTCAAATTGACCTCGCCCTCGTACCGCTGCACTTGAGTTTGACCGGCTCCTCCACCTGTCCCCACCCCACGCCCCGCGCATGCACCTTCGCCCACTCTGCACACCTTCACAGAGCGCCTGCTGGGGGTCAGCAGGTCTGTCCAGGGGCCGGACAGCCGCCGGTGAGCCACACGCACGAATCCTTGCCCTCGTGGAGTTTACACTATGGTGGGGAGACAGACACTCAATAAATAAGACAAATATATGATGTGTGAGGTAGTGAAAAATTCTAACGAGAGAAAATTAAGCAGGAAAGGGGCTCAAGGAGCCAGCGGAGAAAAAGGACAATTAAAAACAGGTAAGAGGCCGGGCATGATGTCTCATGCCTGTAATCCGAACACCTTAGGAGGCCGAAGCGGGAGGATCGCTTGAGCCCAGGAGTTGGAGACCAACCTGGGTAACATAGCAAGACCCTATTTCTACAATTTTTTTTTTTAAATTAGGCCGGGCGCGGTGGCTCACGCCTGTAATCCCAACACATTGAGAGGCCAAGGCGGGCGGATCACCTGAGGTCAGGAGTTTGAGACCAGCATGGGCCAACATGGGGAAACCCGGTCTCCACTAAAAATACAAAATTAGCCGGGCATGGTGGCGTATGCCTGTAATCCCAGCTACTTGAGAGGCTGAGGCAAGAGAACTGCTTAATCCAGGAAGCAGAGGTTGCACTGAGCCGAGATCATGTCACTGCACTCCAGCCTGGGCAAGAAGAACAAAACTACGTCGCAAAAAAAAAAAGAAAAGAAAAGAAAAGAAAAGAAAAATTAGCCAGGCACTGTTGGCACGTGCCTGTGGTCCCAGCTACTCAAGAGGCTCAGGCAAGAGGATCCCTTGAGCCCAGAAGTTCGAAGCTGCAGTGAGCTGTTACCTGGCAACTGCACTCCAGCCTGGGCAACAAAGCAAGATTCTCTCTCTAAATAAATAAACAAACAGGGAATAAGGGAGCCTCCCTTGGGAGAGTGACATTTGCCCATCACCCTCATTTTAACTCACCCTTAACCCCTTCCAGCTCTCCCAGGACTCCCGGGGGACCAGCCTTGCTCCCGGAAGTCCTGCCTTGCCACTCCTCATCTGTTTAGCCTACAAGAGTCAAGAAGCTGGCTCTGGACAGCACTGTTATCCATGTATTCACTCATTCAACAATGACTGAGCACCTACTATGTGCCAGCGTGGGGTGAATTCATCCCTTCATGCAGGGGAAGTCAGAGGTGGCCAGGGAGATGGACAACCCCTGATATATTTGAAATATGTCATTGGACCCTGTGAAAACCACCTCTTTCCTTCCTAGCCTGCATCACATTCTAATCATTGCATTTATTCATTTTATCTATCTGTGGGTTCCTGGCAGTCTCTCTCAGGAGACTGGGAGCTCCCTGAGGGCAGGGGCTGTGGCTGTGGCTGCCTTACTCACCTGCCCGCATGTTGGCAACAATCTTGCTGGGGATCTGGCAGGCAGCAGGTGCCCAGCACACTCTTGGCTAAGGCTATCAAGGGTGGAAATGGGACACAAAGTTCCCATCCCTGTCGCAAGGTGGCAGCAAATGATAGTCCATGGCTCCTGGATTAACCACAAGAGTGAGCAGTTGGGGGACATGGGATCCAGGGATGACTTTCCCAACCCGGGCTCATCCAGGAAATGCCCAGCTCTGCCCAGGCATTGCCACAGAGCAAAGTGAACGTTAACACCGTTAGCTGCTGTTACCACCACGAAAGGCGTTAAGTCCGCCTCTCTTCTGCCCAACATTGAGGGAGGACAATGACTCTGCGTGGGAGACAGAAGCGTGACAGTCCTGCGGGTACAGACAGCTCAAAGTGGAAACTGGGGCCTGGAGGGGAGTGAGAACCCCATTCTCTCCTCCTCCAATCCCAGGAAAGGGAATTAATAATGCCACCAACACCCACTCCAGCTGTTTGTGGGGTTGGTTTGTTTTTGAGATGGGGTCTGGCTGTGTTGCCCAGGCTGAAGTGTGGTGGCACAATCTCGGCTCACTACAACATCTGCCTCCCAGATTCAAGCGACTCTCCTGCCTCAGCCTAGCCTCCCGAGTAGCTGGGATTACAGGTGTCTGCCACAGCGCCAGGCTAATTTTTGTATTTTTAGTAGAGACGGGGTTTCACCATGTTGGTCAGGCTGATCCGGAACTCCTAACCTCAGGTGATCCACCTGCCTCAGCCACTCAATATGCTGGGATTACAGGCATGAGACACCATGCCTGGCCCAGTTACCTATTATTAATACTGTTCTACTAATTATTCCTATCACTTATTGACAGTCCATTGGCACTTGCTATACCTGGCACCATTCTAAAGTTTTAGAAACACAAACGCATCTAATCCTTAAAGCAATCCCAGAGCAATGAAAATGTCCTGGAACTTGACAGAGGTGGTGATTGCACAACGTTGCAAATGCACATGCCAATGAATTGTACATATTAAAATGATTGATTTTCTGTTACGTGGCTTTCATCTCAAAAATCATATACAGTCAAAACTATTTTGATCCTCATTTTACAGGTAAGGAAACTAAGGCACAGGGAGACTGAATAACTCGCCCAAGGCCACACAGCCAGTTAGGAACTCAAACCCAGGACTCTGGTTCTCCAGTGACTTCTTCTCCCAGAGCTGCAGCTGACACTCCAGGATCATGTGATTTCCAAGCCCTGAATTAAAAGATCTCCAGGCACCCTGGCTCCAGGACAAGAAGGCGCCACAAGGATAGGCTGATTCCCGGGGGGTGCTGGGCATGAACTCAGTCCCGGGGCAGGATCTTTAGCCTCTATCTGCTGCTTCCCACCTGCCCTGCAAGAATGACCCAGCCAAAGCTGCCTTATGAGGAGGTGGGTTTCGGGAACCCCAGAAACCACCGCATGTCTCTGAATGTCTTCCCAGCAGATGGGCCACTGCCAGAGAATACTCAACCATTAGTGATGCATTTGCTTGAGTACAACTCTGGACCCAATCCAAAGGCAGATGTTCCTGGAAGGCATCCTGCTGGGAATGTCCTGAGTTGAATGGCTCAGTGTGACACTAAGGAGAGTTAAAGAGGGTGTTATGGTCGGGTGCGGTGGCTCACGCCTGTAATCCCAGCACTTTGGGAGGCCGAGGTAGGTGGATCACAAGGTCAGGAGATTGAGACCATTCTGGCTAACATGGTGAAACCCCATCTCTACTAAAAATAAAAAATAAAAAATTAGCCGGGCGTGGTGGTGGGCGCCTGCAGTCCCAGCTACATGGGAGGCTGAGGCAGGAGAATGGTGTGTGTGAACCCGGGAGGCGGAGCTTGCAGTGAGACGAGATCGCACCACTGCACTCCAGCCTGGGCGACTGAGCAAGACTCCATCTCAGAAAAAAAAAAACAAAGAGGGTGTTATGACTGGCTGGACCCAGGGTCCAGACCCTGAACTGGGCCCTGGAATACATAAGGGGCCCTGGGATGACTCTGAAGCTGGAGAGGATGCAGCAAGTGGGGTACGGTTCCCAGCTTAATTTTATTGTGGCAAAATGGTCCGGGCACAGTGGCTCATACGTGTAATCCCAACACTTTGGGAAGCCGAGGCCGGCGGATCACCTGAGGTCAGGAGTTCAAGACCAGCCTGGACAACATGGCAAAAACCTGTCTCTAATAAAAATTAAAAAGTTAGCCAGGCATGGTAGCACATGCCTGTAACCCCAGCCACTAGGGAGACTGAGGCAGAAGAATCTCTTGAACCCTGGAGGCCGAGGTTGCAGTGAGCTGATATCACGCCACTGCACTCCAGCCTGGGCAACAGAGAGAGACTCCATCCCAAAAAAAGAAAAAAAGAAAAAAAAAAAAGCAGTCGGGTGTGATGGCTCATGCTTGTAATCCCAGCACTTTGGGAGGCTAAGGTGGGTGGATCACCTAAGGTTGGGAGTTCGAGACCAGCCTGGCCAACATGGTGAAACCCGTCTCTACCAAAATACAAAAATTAGCTGGCGTGGTGGCGCACGCCTGTAATCCCAGCTACTCAGGAGGCTAAGACAGGAGAATTGCTTGAACCAGGGAGGCGGAGGTTGCAGTGAGCTGAGATGGCACCACTGCACTCCAGCCTGGGCGACAGAGTGAAACTCCATCTTAAAAAAATAGAAAAGTAGGGGTAACATGGAAAACTATTCAGCGTTAGAGAGGAATAAAGCACTCACAAGCGCTACAACTTGGATGAACCTGGAGGGCATTGTGCTGAACAGACAAGAACTGAGTGATTCCAGGTTTGAGTCACCAGAGGAGCCCAATCCACAGGGACAGAAAGTAGAACGGTAGGGGGAGAGGCTGGGGGAGGGACCTGGGGAGTTAATTAACGGACACAGAGTTTGGGGTTTAGAAGATGAGAAGAGTTCTGGGCCGGGCACAATGGCTCACACCTGTAACTCCAGCACTTTGGGAGGCTAAGGTGGGCGGATCACAAGGTCAGGAGATCGAGACCATCCTGGCCAACATGGTGAAACCCTGTCTCTACTAAAAATACAAAAATTGGCTGGGCTTGGTGGCGGGCACCTGTAGTCCCAGCTACTCGGGAGGCTGAGGCAGGA